ATTTTGTCCTTACGATGATGAATGTGAACATAACAAACACAACCAAACACTTTCGGAGGGACAGTAAATAAGGCAGTGTGACGGTGTAAGACAAAGAAAGGGGATTGATAACCAAGAACCTAGAAGGCATGTGATTGATAAGGTATGTAGCTGTTAAGGTTGCATCAGCTCAATAACTTTTAGGCACTCCGATCCCAATTAGAAGAGAACGGGTCACCTTCGTAATATGAAGGTGTTTTATTTCAGCTACACCGTTCTGTTGTGGTGTATTGACACAGGAAGTTTGATGGACAATCCCGTTATCAGCAAAAAAAGAGGGAAGACCACCATACATAAACTCTCCTCTGTTATCAGATCGAAGGATTTTGAGGGGATAACCAAACTGAGTATATAACATCTTATGAAAGGTTTTAAAAATGGAATGAATTTCATCCTTGGTTTTCATAAGATAAAGCCAAGTATATCGGCTAAAGTCATCAACAAACACAACAAATTAATGAAAACAAAGTAACAAAGTAGTAGATTTAGGACCCCACACATCAGAATGATAAGCTACGGAGGAGCTGGACTTTTATTAATACTGGTAGGATAAGAAACTCGACATTGTTTGGCAAGAATGTTTGTATCACAATTGAACTCAAAAGATTCAATAGAATCAAACTGGGGAAGCACGTGCTTCAGAACAGGAAGAGGTAAATGACCTAGTCTATTATGCCATCGCATTAACAGATCTTTACTGACATTACTATTTCTAACAATAGATTGATTTGCAACATAATACGAAGTTGGCCTCACGTTCAGCAAATATAAGCCATTGTCCTCACGTCCACTTCCAATCGTCTTCCCTGTACCCAAGTTCTTAAACACACAGTGAGATGGAAAGAGGTTACACTACAATTCAAGCCTTTTGTAATGTGACTGACAGAAAGGAGGTTATTGGTAAACTTTTGGGATATGAAGAACAGAGGATATGGTAAGATTAGGAGAGGTAGAAATAGTGCATTTCCCCGCAATGGAGGTGAAGGTACCATCAACCACTTTAACCTTATCCTTACCAATACATAACCTGCATGAAGAAAAATTAGATGCCATACTAGGCATGTGATTAGTGGCTCTTGAATCAATGATCCAAGGTGGCTCACCAGATAATGTGGAAACTTGATGTGTTCAAAAACACCAATCGAGACTGCAATCGATAAAAAATAGGTCCAAAAAACGTGTGGATGTGATTAACATTACTTCCTTACAAACAAATCTCATCTTGGAATCTCTTCAAAACCCTTCACACCCACTAGGGTTTGCACAAGCTTGCCCTAGGGTTTCAACTACGCACCTAGAGCTTTACAAACCATGCTTTGATACCATGTTAACTTTAAGAGATAATCAAATCAAGAGTAAAGTATAAGAAGAAGAAGAAAAAGAGACAAAAGATGATGAGAGAAAAATAGAGAGAGATGGGGAAAGAGAGAGAATGAAAGAATACTTTCATCCTTCCACCACATTCTATTTATACTAACAAGTTTCAAAAGTTACACATAAGCCCCAACATTATATAAGTAATAACAAATAAGCCCTTGACAACACCGTTTGGGGTCACTGGCTACCGAGAAAATTAAGGAATAAGGCGATAGCCTAGCAGGGTGCATGCCCAGGTATGGTAGTCATAGTGGTAAGGATTGTACTAGGAACCGTAGGAGAACCGGCATGTTACAGTTACACTCTTCTAGCTAAGGCATTATCCGGGAGAGTATTGACACTTAAGGGCAAAGTGTCATTGCAATACTTAAAATAGTAGAAATGAACAAGATGAACTTCGATTAGATTGATACGAAAAAAGAAAAAAGAAAAAAAAAGATCTTAAATTTGAAACTAAAAAACTTAGAAGCATAGGACAAGATTGTGATGTCTTTAAGTGTCTAGAATATTGAATGTTTGATTGAACGGTCATCAAGATTTATCACTGTTGATTGAACAGTCATCAACCTGAATTGGGAAAAGCATCTCTATAATATTGATTGAAATAGTTCCAAACACAAGTTGATTAAAGGATCATCAACATATATCACTTTGGAATTGGGCCATTCTACATCTGATAATGGGTATTAATTAGAAATGCTGGTGTGCCTATAACTGTACTTGTAGTTTGTTCAACCTTTTTTTAATTGTAAATTTTTTCTAGAAGATTAATAAGTATGTTGTCGACTATGGGAAAATGCAAGGGCTTCTGAAACTTGGTAGGTGACTTTTGACATCTCCAACATTATCAAAAGTCGTGATATTTGAAACAACAAATGGAATATGAAGGACTCAAACTTTGAAATATTCTCAGATGAGATAACATTAAAACTACTTTCAAATACTTCGCAATGATATTATTTCATATGTTATCGAAATTTCCTTGTGCAGTTGTGTTACCTCACATTGTTATGACTTTATGAACAGATTGAGAAGAATGTGGAAGTTCATGGTTGAGTGCCATAGGAGACAATTTCAAGCCATGATGAAGGCCAAAGCTCGTGTTGAAATGGCGAATGCAACCATCCAAAGAAACTCAAGTTTGAAGGCCACACAAAAACTGGAAAAGTCAGTCCTGAATTGGGGTACAAGCTTTACTGACTGGATTAACTGCCAAAAAGCATTTATCATGCTCTTGAATGGGTGGCTTATCAAGTGCCTGCTTCAAGAACCAGAGGAAACCTCCGATGGAAGTGCTCCGTTCTCTCCAGGCCGTCTAGGGGCTCCAGCAATCTTTACTGTCTGTAACGATTGGTGCCACACAATGGAGAAGATATCAGAAACTGGAGTATCGAAAGCCATACATGATTTTGCCACGACGTTGCACCAGTTTTGGGAGAAGTTGGATGAGGAAAGGTGCCGGTTCCTTAAAGCTGAGTACCTTTCTAAGGATCTCGAAAAACGGCTCAAATACTTTTGTGAGGAGAGAGGAGTGAAGTGGGATCAATATGCATCAGCAAATAATGCAGCTGACTCAGGGGGTAGTGCTGAAAGTGTAGTTCCAGTTCCGGTTCCAGGAGGAGTAAATGAGGAGTTAGAGACCTTGAGGAATAGATTCAATGAAGAAAGGGCGAGGCACGGGGAAGCAATCCGACAAGTAAATGATGGTGCTTCGCGTAGTTTGCGTGAAGGTCCCGTGCTAATCTTTAAGGCTTTGGAGAGCTTTAGTTTGGAGATATTGGAAGCTTATGAGCAAGTCAGAATTCCAAACGAAGGAAGCACACAGTGAGAAAATTGCTGTGTGAAATCTACTGGTTGGTTTCCTAGGAGGAAGAACTGAGTCTCATTGTGGGTTATATAATAAGGGTTATATAATAGGATTGCTAGTCAAATATTAGAACTGTACTTAGTGCTGAAATTTTCATAATGCGCATTGGACCTTTTGGATGTTCCCAGAAGTAGGAAAATAATTTTTTTCCTGATTGGTTGCCAAGAAAAAGAATGAGAGAAGGAAATGAAATTTGCAGTCATAACTTAGCTTGTCTTTTGAAGTGGTCATTAATGTAGGATTCCTAGTAATCTATTTCTATTATCAGACTTCTTGGCATTAGATTTCTCTTGTTTTATATATATATATATATATATTGCTTTTTGCAATTTTTGTTTTTTGGGTCATGGGAAGGATTATCTGTTTTTCATGGGTTTCGAATATTTGCATTACATTCTGTATCATATATCTTAAATAGGGATGGCAATTTGTCCCGCGGGGGTATCCGCTCCACCCCACCCCGTGTATAGCAGTTTTGGGGAACCATTTAACTTATATAGGCAGAGATGGTTTTTATTATTGAAAACCCGCACGGGTTTGGCGGGGGGAAGTCGTCCTACTCTGTTTAGGTAGGTAAATTACTAAATTACTTTTATTTTATTAGTATATATAGTTAGCTTTGAAAATCTTATGTCACATTCACTCACTTTCTTAACTGTTTTAGAAAGTGGCAGAAGCCCTACAAACTAAGAACGCTCATACCCTTAAATTTTATGTTAAATTATTGATTGCCCATTTTTTATGAAATTTTTCAATAGATAATTGTATTTGAGAAAAAAATTAAAAATGGAAGAGAAATTCTATAACTAAACGGGGCACAACAGGGTGGATGCTCGCGGGTGAAAAAGTTAAACAGGGTGGGGATGAAGTGGAAAGGTCCCTATTTAGACGGTTACCAGGGTGGGGGAGGGTCCACCCGCCCAAAACCGCCTTCGTTGCCATTCCTGCTCTTAATCTGCATGATATTTCTTTTCTAAACTTAAAGTTGTCTTTATGGATGAAAATTGTGCAGGAAAATAGTAAATTCTGTAAATTGTGAATGAAGCAACTTTATTAGAAACTCAGATACATGTATATATACTTGTATATATATGTCGAGAAGGCAAAAACTTGACTATAGCCTTTTGACGCTTATTTTATAGATATAGAATCATAACAATAAACTCTTGTTTGATTTTTTTTATTTTTTATTTGCTTTTCCTTTTGAGAGGGAAAATATCTAATAAAATTTTGAAATGAAGTTTTGCTAATAGTATCTATTAAGTTTAATTTTCATTTGTTAAGTTTTCTATATTCAAATTGACATTTTTATTAAACATATTTATAAGAAAACTTAATAAAAGAAAACTGCTATATTGAAATTCAATTGTAAAAAGTAAATTGTGAAGTTTAAAGAATTCCATGATCATTAAGTCTGGTCCAATTTGTCTTGATTATTATTCTTGATTGTGAATCTAAATTCCCAGAAATTTAATTTTTCATTTTCAGCAGCAGTCCAATAAGCACGCTAAATATATACTCCATCTGTCCCACAAAAAATTGTCCCTTTTTGAAAATCTATGAGTATTTTTAATGTTTATTATTATTATAGTAGTAGGTAATGAATTTCCAAATATCCCCTTCTATAGTTGGTCCATATTCTTTTATAGCGTCAAGACACGAGGATAGATTAGGAATATTAAAAAAAAATAGTACATTGCATTTTAAATTAGAACAATTATTTTAGGACAAAAGTTAAACAATTTTATGTAGGACCGAGGGAGTAACTAATACAACACAGATCAACATCACCACCAAAAGCCTCTGGCTAAAATTTGTCAAAGTTGGGAATGTAATTTCATACCAGAAGAGTACATATATTGCTCCCCTCAGGATTCCTTGGTGTTCATGCTATATATATATATATATATATATATATATATATATATATATATTTCGTATATGCAACCAATACAACTTGCCTGGTAACTACATAAGAATAGTTTTACTTGGTCATGAAACTAACTTTAAGACTCAGTAACGTTACACCAAGCGCTGCTTGAGAAGAAATCAGGTTCATATGCATCACATCCGAAATCGACTTCCTGACATGCAATTAACGTCTGAAATAATCGAAACCTCCCCCTGTACTCTGCTAATTGGCGAGTACTGAATGAATTTAAGTTTCTGTGTTCGTGCTTTGAACCCTATTTATGTGTGAACATTCCACAACCACCATCTCGCTGCACTAGCCTATTCAGGATAACAGAAGATCTTGGAACAGACAAGTTTCTGAAACACAAAGAAAGTAGTCAGAGGAATGGGAATGGGAAACAATAACAAGGTTATGAATGTAGTTTGGACAACTTGTGCACCACAAATAACCGAAAACATAAATATTAATATGAAGAGCAACGCTACACACTTGAGCTATTTTCAAAATACAAACTTCTATGGAATTTATTTCTATAAAAATAACTTTTTTTTCCCCTTCCAATTCTTAAATTCTCCAACTCCTTCATCAATCAATTGCAAGTCACTAGAATATTTTTGTACTGTACTTTTTCATTTATTAAAATTTATTCCATTCAGGAAAAAAAAAAAAAAAAAAAAGTCACTAGAATATTACATATCTTGCATGAAGATATCGTTAGTGTCTACGTCGGGCAAGATTGAAGCACGAGTCAAAGTATATCTATCTAATCCACCCTTTCTTCTCTACTATAATTGAAGAAAGGAAGCAATCGTTAGTGTCTACGTCGGGCAAGATTGAAGCACGAGTCAAAGTATATCTATCTAATCCACCCTTTCTTCTCTACTATAATTGAAGAAAGGAAGCAATCTAAAACTCAAAGATTGCTGTTCATGTTAATCCATCCATCCTGAATTTGGTGGTGATTTAGATTTTTATATACATATATACCTGTAGAACAAGAAACTCAGAAAGATAAAATAAATAATTTTAGAATGAGTAGTAAGTCTTTGTTTGAAAGGAGAAATTTCCATCAATAGTAGTTAGAAGCAAAAGTCTGGACATATCTACGAGCCCTCACATAGGTGCATTAGTGCCAACTCGAATCGAGGCAAATGAAGGCAGGAAGCTGGACTTTGGCGGAAAAACCAAATATTTTGGCATTACAGACTTGGAAAAACAAAACAACTTCGGTAAAGAAACTGATCATTTTTTTTTTTTGATAAGTAAAGAATCAATAAAAAGCGTTCAAAAGGGGAACGTGTCCCATTTACAAGAACAAAACAAAGACCCATGGACCTAATGAATCCAATAAATCAACAACATCGTCAGAAGAAGAACAATGTCTCCCCTACGCCCAACTACAAATGGATTGAATAATATGAAGTTTCACAGTTGCCGTAGACACTTCCAATACTTCAAAACATCTGTTGTTCCTCTCTCTCCATATACACCACCAAACACAATGTGGAATGGTCCACCAACACGCACAAGCATGACCCCCCACATGACATCCCCTCCACGCTTCAATCATGCCCCTTGTGGTCCGGGGCATCACCCAAGAAATACCGAACAATCCAAAAATAAGATTCCAACAATCATGTACCACAGGGTAGTGTAAAAGTAGGTGATCCGTAGACTCACCATCGTTTTTGCATAGACAACACCGATTGACCATAATAACGCCTCGCTTCCTCATGTTATCCAAAGTCAAAATCTTACCCCCACATGGCAGTCCACACAAAGAATGCCACCCTAAGTGAAGCCTTAGAACGCCAAATAGTCTTCCAAGGGAAAGCGACACTAGCAAACTTGGACAGACACATAAACATAGAACGAACCTCGAAACCTCCATGGGAAGAGGGACCCACAGAAGAGCATCATCACCTATGCCACCAACCTGTTGTTGATACAACATATCCAGAAAAGCACGTCCATCTCCCAGTCCTGAAAAGAACGCCTAAAACGCACATCCCACGTAATCCCACTACCATCAAGCCGATAACAATCAACTACAAAGACATGTCTATCAGTAGCGATTCTAAAAAGCCTCTGAAAAGAGCAAGACAATGGCTGTTCGCCGCACCATAAGTCCTCCGAAAACCGAACACGTCTACCATCCTGAACTTTGAATTTGATATGAGAGGAAAAAACATCCCATCCTTTCCATATAAATTTCCACACGCCCACTCCTCCGGCATTAACTGGCCATGAAGACCACCCACCTCTCTCTTCCCCATACCTACATGAAACAATCCTCCTCCAAGGGTGGTATCTTTCTCTTCCAAATCTCCACAACCACTTGCCTAGGAGGGCTCTATTAAAGGGAATCAGCCTCCTAATGCCCAGACCTCCCAACTTAACGGGCTTGCAAATATGCTCCCACTTGACAAGATGGTACTTGAACTCTTCTCCCCTTCCACCCCACAAGAAATTCCTTTGAATTTTCTCGATTCTTTCAGCAACAGAATACGGGATCTGGAACATAGATAGGAAATAAGTGGGAAGGTTTGAGGGAGTGCTCTTAATAAGAGTGACCTTCCCCCCCCCCCCCCCCCCCCCCCTTCGACAAATATTGCTTCTTCCACCCCGCCAATATCTTCTCAAACCTGGCAATCATAGGATCCCACGTCCCCACCCTTCTAGAGGAAACCCCCAAAGGCAGACCCAAATAATGGATGGAGAATGAACTCACCCCACACCCAAGAACTGCGGCTAAGGAGGAAATGCCCTGAACTTCCCCAACGGCACAAGCACGCTCTTGCCAACATTAACTTTCAGCCAAGAAATTGCCTGAAAACAAACAAGAATACACCTCAAATACCTCAATTGGGTGGCTTCAGCATCATAAAAAACCAAAGTGTCATCTATAAACAACAAATGAGATATCTCCATCTGATGAGTTGAATCTCTGCCCACTCTGAAGCCTTTAATAAGACCCAAATCCTGTGCCATCTTCATTAGCCTACTCAACCCCTCCATAACAATGAGAAAGAGAAAAGATGACAAAGGATCACTGTCTCAACCCCCGAGAACTTCCAAAGAAACCATCAGGAGCCCCATTCACAAGTACGGAGAAGTTGACAGTACATGTCTCTATCCAAGTCCACCATCTACTTCCAAAGCCCATTCTCTGAAACAGATACAACAGAAAGCTCCAATTAACGTGGCCATACGCTTTTTCAATATCGAGCTTGCATAACACTCCCGTTACACCACTCCTCAGCCTAGAGTCCACACATTCACCAACGATGAGAACGGAATCTAGGATCTGCCTTCCCCTAACAAAGGCGTTTTGGGAATCCGAGATAACCCTATCCATGACAACCCTCAACCTGATAGCAAGAACCTTAGCAATGAGCTTATAGATGCAGCCCACCAAACTAATTGGTCTAAAGTCCTTAATATCAGTAGCGCCACCCTTCTTAATAATAAAGGCAATAAAAGAAGCATTTAACGACTTCTCGAACACCTCGTGAGAATGAAACTCCTGAAAATTACCCATTACCTCCCTTCTAACCACTTCCTAGCTTTCCAACAAAAAGCTCATAGTAAACCCGTCAGGCCCCGGTGCTTTGTCACCATTACAACTCGACAAAGCCTTTAACACCTCCTCTTCGGTAAATGAGGCCTCAAGATCATCTCTCTAAATCTCAAAAATAACATCAAAATTGAGACCAATAAGCTTAGGCCTCCAGTCCAAAGACTCAGTGTAGAGCCTCTTATAGAAAGAAACAATCCCCATATGGACCTCCCTACACAGCTCCTGATCATCAACCCGAATTCGCTCAATATGATTACTCCTTCTATGGGCATTTGCAAGCCTACGGAAAAATTTCGTATTGCGATCCCCCTCTTTGAGCCACAAGGCCCTAGACTTCTGACACCATGAAATCTCTTCCATTGAAGCAATCTCGGCAAAATCCGCCTCGCAAACTGCTCTCCTAGAACGTGGAGAGTCTCCCTCCCCACCCACCTCATCAAGGCGGTCAATTTCAGAAATTTCAGCAAGGACTTTGTTTTTCCTCCATTCAAGATTCCCAAACACCTCCTTATTCCATCTTTTCAATTCGGTTTTAAGGGCCCATAGTTTCCGGGCTAACACAAAACTGGCGGAACCAATGGCCGTGGCCTCCTCCCACCACGAACGAACAGACCCTTGGAAATTCTCCACCCGCAGCTACATAGTCTCAAATTGAAACGGAGAACGCTTGGAGTTCAAACCCCCACAATCCAGAACCAACGGAGTATGATCTCAAGTAACCTTGACTAAAGCCGCCTGAACGACATCCAGAAATTTTTCTTCCCTCCTCAGAAATCAAGAACCTGTCCAGTCTTGAGAAAGTAGCAGACTCCCTTCCACTAACAGTAAATGTTGCCCCTTCCAAAGGCAAATCAATGAGAAAGTGACCATCAAAAAACTCCAAAAATTGAAATATCTCCGAGGACCATCTTCCCCCTATAGACCTCTCTAGTGGAGACCTGAAAGAATTAAAGTCCCCACCCAGGCACCACGGAAGAGACCACAGTCCCTGAACGTGGCTCAGCTCCTCCTAAAGGAAAGACCTCTCACTGTCATCAACCGGTCCATATACCCCAGAAAAAACCAATCTGAAATTGTCCTCCTCCATATTGAACACGCAAGAAATAGAAAACCTCCCCCTCCAAATGTCCATCCTTGACAGCCATCGTTGATCCCACATGACTAAAATACCACCAAAAGTTCCTAAGGCATTCAACACCTCCCATTCAACAAACCTACCTCCCCATAGACTTTTGACCACCTCATCCGTCATCGATGCCATCTTAGTCTCTTGCAAACAGACCACATGGGCTCCCCACTTTCTCAAAGCAGCCTTCACCACCCTCCTTTTGCCAAGGTCGTTGAGACCTCGGACATTCCAAGAAATAATTCGTAGCTTCGTTAGGAAACATCTAAGATTATCTCCCCTCCTCCCTTCCTCGCACTCCTAGTCCTCCCCCTCCTTCACCACCCCTTCTTTCCTTTCATAGTTAACATATGAAATAAGATTCCAGACCTCTTGCTCCCCTTTCCAAGAAGGAATTGTTCTCTTGGTTCTAGCTCCCCTCGTACCCTGGTTGATACCCTCAGCCTCCCTCCCTCCCTCCTGCTATAGCTTGAAGGATGGTTAGCGCCTGATCACTCCTGCCCTCACAAGTGACACCCAACATTTCACTAGTGGTACCAATATTCTCTACCACCTATTCCTTACCCAAATCAGTAGTCATCTCTAAACTATCGTGTAATGTTTATGAGTTAATATATATATATATATATATATATATATATATATATATATATATATATATTATTGGCCTGGGACCCACCATCACTTTTTACCATCACAAATGACCAAGGGTTGGTCATTACAGAACCCATCAGTTCCTCCTCTCTGCTACGTCTCTCTCTGTCCCGCTTGCTTCTCTTTTCTTTTTCTTTTTTTCTTCTACTCAATTTAAACCACTTAGAATTTTTGGGTGCCGTTTGCGGCAAATCGGAGAGCACGACGAGATCTACGCGTGGGTGTAAACAATTCCTTGTTTGGCCAACTCTAGGGATTTCGAAATTAGGGCACAAAATTTGGGGGTTTAATAATCCTCCTTTGAGGTAGGAGTTCTTAATGCACAATTTCTTGCACTTTGGTGAATTTCTACTTGAATTGTTGCATAGCATGCTAATTTGTGTTGTTTTTTTTTAGCATGATTTAATTGTTCAAAATGAAGTATATGTTTATATCTGTTAGTTGATGTTGTATGAGAACGCATGCCAAAATGATAAATTCCATGCCTATTGTGTGTTAAGTGTTGAATTTGGTGATTTAGAAGCATGATATATATATATATATATTTTATGAATCTTCTATGAGACATGTATAGTGTAAATGTTTGACTTGGAAGGAATAAATTTTTACATTCGCATGGCATTGAGATGTATAAAATAATCATGCACTCATTGGGAAAGAAATGAGAAAAATTGATTTGAAAGAAATGAAATGGATTTTGGGAGAAAAAATAAAAAATTTGAAAAGGATTTTGTGAAAAACCCGGCCGCCTAAGAGTTGCCTAGGGACTGCGGCGTTAGTAAGGCTTAGAGGGGACTAGGGAGATCGCCCTAATGTGGTTGAGTTACCTAGGCCCCAAATGACGCCATGGAGTTGCCATGGGTCAAGGACAATGGCCAATTCTCCTCTCGTGCCGCCATGGAGTTGCCATGGGACGGATTCACTAACGATTTGGAAATGATGATGGAAATGGTTTTGGAAAATGGGGAGTGAAATTGCATGGCATGGCATATCATTGCATGACATTTTCATTTGTGGTATCGGATTAATGATGTGGTATTGTGGTTATATTTTTTTTTCCCAGCATGGTATGATCCCAATTTCCTTATTCCTATTCATTGTGTGGATTCACGGGGTCTCAAGAGGTGTGTCTTAGGCACCTCCTACTGAGCTTATGCTCACCCTTTCATTTTAACATTTTTCAGGAAACGGGAATGAAGTGGCGAATGACATTCCACCATAGGCCTAGTATGGATTAGACAATCATTTTGTTATTTTGTATCTAAGTCCCACTATTTTTGTAAAACTTAGCATATTGTGTTCTGTACTGAGACTTATGGACTCTTGTTATTGTAGTTATATTCATGAGCTATAATTTTGATATAAGTTATCTAAACGTTGTATGACATGGACTTTTGATCTTAATAATATTTTTGGGACTGTAATTATGATATTTGGATTAAATAGCATGTAGTTGTTTCACCATGAGATGATCTATGTTGAGGCATAATGACTGGATGAAAGGGATGTTGAAATATAATATTTGTGTTGTGTGCTGGGACAGTTTGGATAAGTCTTGAAAGCCCAAGAGAGGCTATTGCATTTTTTTGCATTTAAGCAGGTTGTTGTAGGACCCCTTTTTAGCAAAGGTCATGCCAAAATTTTCTTTTTTTTTATTTGTATCATTTTAGGGTCGTTACAAATTTGGTATCAGAGCCTTGGTTCTAAAACCATTAGGACGACGGGTAGCGGCCTACCTAGGGTTGTCTGGGAAGTCATTTGCATTGTTATTTCATTATTTGCAAAAGTGTTTTACTATGTGAAAAAGCATGCTTAACTATTTACTTGCTTACGTGCTTATGTGCCTATATGCTTATATTAATGCGTTTATTGCATGGTCTTGCATGCTAAGTGTTTGTGCAGTATCCTTTTGTGTTAAGTTGTTCACGGTTAGACCTTAATGTTATCGTGATTGAACCGTTTTCTTGTTTTATAGTACGATGCCGCCACGAAAGGAACCCAGAGGTGTTGGCTATATGCCGACAAGAGGTGATGTTAGTGAAAGCTCGAGCTCCAATCCAGCGGAGCATGTCAACGAGGATACGCTTCTTAAGGACTTGATTCTCCCAAGAAGTGTTACTACTAGAAGGGACAATGTTGAAACACCCATTGAAGAGGGTGAAGGTTCGGCGGAACTAGCATTAAACCGTTTGTTACAGAGAGCCTTGAGGGCTACAATTGTTACTCATCCGCAGCCGGTACCACAACCAGTAGTTCAGGTGGAGGAGAGTCCAGCGCAGAAACGTCTTAAGTTGATTTCAGGGTTTTCCAAGTTGATGCCAGTGATGTTTGAGGGTGGTGCGGATCTAATGGAAGCGGACGATTATATGGATCAAAATGAAACTCAATTGACCTCTATGGATGTGACGGATGACTATGTGAAAATCATCCAAGCCACTTACAAGTTTTCCAAGGACGCCAAGCTCTGGTGGAAGTCGGTCACAAATCAGTATAAGATTGAAGAGATGAGTTGGGATAGGTTCAAGGAGCTGTTCTATGAGAAGTATTTCCCTGCTTCCAAGAGGTGGGAACTAAGGGACCAGTTAATGGCCTTATCCAAGGCAATGTGTCAGTGACGGAGTACGAGAACAAGTTCACCTTTCTCTCTCGCTTTGCTCCAGAGATGGTGAGCAATGAAGTCGAAAAGACTAGGAAATTTGTCTCCGGGCTTGATTACAAAATGAGGCCGCTGATAACGGCACAGTACATCAAGGTTTATTCTGAGGCAGTGGAAAGAGCATTAATGCTAGAGGCGGAGGCCAAAGATAAAGATGCAAGAAGGGAACAGTGGAAGCAAAATAGGAATGCAGGATCATCTTCAGAGGACCTTCATGGAAGAGGAACAGGGGTGGTTCGTCTCAGTTTCAAGGGCAGCAGTCAGCACGATCCACTCCTACTACTCCTATCCCAACTGGGTCAGATAAGAGTGGGATTGTTTGTTATCAGTGTCAGCAGCCTGGATATTACAAGTCTAAATGTCCTATGAACTCGTCTAGAGCTTGTTATGGGTGTGGCCAGCAGGGCCATCTGATTCGGGATTGTCCTAGTCGGGGAGTAGGCACCGGTAATGGCAGAGGGTCACAGCAGAGGCCATCACAGTCAACTACAGCTCAGTCAGGTTTCAGACCACCGCCACCACCACAGCCAGCCATGTCTTCTCAGGGTTCACGGCCAGTTAGGAGAGATACTCCTACTATGTCAGTGCAGTAGTCAGGTGTTCAGGTTGGCAGTTCTCAAGCACAAGCACCACAGGGACGTGTCTATGCATTTGCTCAGGCCGATGCATCTTCTGGTCCATCAGTTCTTTGAGGTATCTTTCCAGTGTTTGGTTCTTGGGCTCGTGTTTTGTTTGACTTTGGTGCATCTCATTCCTTCATTTCATCATCATTTGCACTTGCATCAGGGTTAGAGGTCAGTTTCATGGATCGGGCGTTATGTGTTGATACGCCAGTTAGGGTTTCAATGTCCTTGAGCCAAGTTGTGAGGGATTGTTCCATTGTGATAGCCGGGCGGACTTTTGTGTTTGACCTTATCCTCCTAGAGATGACTAGCTTTGGCGTCATTCTCGGGATGGATTAGTTAGCTTCGTTTCATGCCACGATCGACTATTTCAGAGGTAGAGTCAGTTTGCACTCCCGAAGGGGATTGCTTCTTTTTCGTGGGAGATCGGAGCGATTCCCACACTTCATCATTTTATGGAACTCGTGGAAGAGGTTGTGGTGATTACTTCTTGGCTAGTCTTTTAGCTGAAGAAGATGATATTGTGGAAAGGGGTTATCCGGCAGTTGTTCGTGACCTTTTGGATGTTTTTCCAGAGGACTTGACAGAGTTGCCTCCACACCGAGAAGTGGAGTTTACTATTGATTTGATGTCCGGTACAGCGCCGATTTTTATAGCACCGTATCGTATGGCACTAGTTAAACTGGAAGAATTGAAGAGGCAGCTTGATGATTTGAGGATGAAAGGTTTCATCCGACCGAGTGTGTCACCATGGGGCGCACCGGTCTTGTTTGCTAAGAAGAAAGATGGTTCTTTAAGGTTGTGCATTGATTACCGGAAGTTGAATCATGCCAGCATCAAGAACAAGTATCCTTTGCCAAGGATAGATGATTTGTTTGATCAGTTAAGGAGAGCCAGTTGTTTCTCGAAGATTGACTTGAGGTCAGGCTACTATCAGTTAGGGGTTAAGAATGAGGATATCCCAAAGACGGCGTTCTATACTCGGTATGGACACTATGAATTCCTCGTTATGCTTTCTGGCTTAACTAATGTGCCAGCGGCATTCATGGACTTGATGAACCGCATCTTTCATGATTACTTGGATCAGTTTGTGGTAGTTTTCGTGGATGACATCCTTGTGTATTCACGGACTCATGAGGAGCACGAGGTCCATTTAAGTATTGTGTTACAGATTTTGCGGGAGCACCGATTAT